AATTAAGTACACTTTGTAATTCGACTGGTTACAAAGCGTTATGAATAATATTTCCAAATAGAAACAATACATATTTAAATGAGGTTGGATAAGGTTTTTAATTTGCTAACCTAAAAGAGAGTTAAAAAGCGCGACTTTTCAGCACAATTTTAAACATTCGTAAAATTTTTCTCATCAAAACTAGGGTTACATCGATACAAGAATAAACAGTGGTGGACAGCCCTAATGGCATTTGTACAATCGCTATCTGTCCCGCCTCGGACATTAACACGTCTCACCTCATTAAAATATCAATAACAATGCCATCCGCGGTGTGGTGTCATTCGAAAATGAGCATTAAATCCATATGATAGTGGCTAATTTGCATCCAAACCTTCATTCGTCCGTGGGTCGGCAATGAGACAACGATCCTCACCCGCGCCTTACCAAGAAGTTTCTTTAGCGATGTCCATTGCTATAAAGCAACTACTATGTCTATCGATATTGATATTCGGAAGGGAATAGTACTTGGTAGTCAACCGCCCGGTTTCTGAAACACTGATCATCGTAGATGTCAACTAATCAGCTGTCAAATGGCTTTTCAAACTTCATTTCAGTTGCCAAAAGGAGGGTATACTCTCTGAATTGACCAGAAAGATCTTTTTAATTATCAGAATGATCAATTCAAAGAGTTTAACACTCTTTGGCAACTCAAATGACTACTGAAAAGCCATTTGAAGCCAGATTATCGTCGAGCCGGGAAATACATCATCTGTGAAAATGTCAACTGTCTAATTATCACGGTTCATAAGATACAGCCTGGTGACAGACAGACAGACAGACAGCGGAATCTTAGTAAAAGGGTCCCGTTCTACCGTTTGGGTACGGAACCCTAAAAACCACAAAGTACTCCAGCGTGCATATCAATATAAAATAAACTAAACACATGAGTTTTCCATCCAATCGTATGATTAAAACTGTTATTCGATGTTTAACTCTCGCCTAAAACAAGTCTGATCTCTTTACTTTGCCAATATAGTCAGTGTTGATTCAACCACAGATGACGTTAGTTGTTTTATATAGTGGGATGTTTCGAAATTTGAAAAAAAAATGCGTAGTAGTAAAAGACGGATACGACGTCAAGAAGAACCTTCAAGGAACCCTCAAGAACAGAGCCTACTTGTAAGGCCGGCAACGCTATTGTGATCCCTCCGATGTTGCGAGTGTCCATGGCTTCCAAAGCGACGTGTACTGTCCTGACTCGTGGAAAAAATTTATACTAAGAGTTGTAACAAAGAAAAGGAAATCTTATAAGTTGGCTATCGTTAATTTATAGACAATATATGAAATTGTAATTATTATTTTTTTCTCTTATATTCTTTTAGTACTTTTAAATATATTGTCTTGTGAGAAAAAGAGTATAGGTAACTATATGGTATGTCCCATGAGCAAGGTAGGATTTTGAAAAAAGAAGCAGCATACTTGGGAGTCCGTTCATACTTGACTTTGTGCCTGTTGCCATGCCATTCTGATGTTCTTAGGATTTTCATCCCAGTGACGTGTCCATTAGCCATCTTTATAGGTTACCTGCAACGCCATGTAGGCTTTTTTATTAGATTCAGCCTTTAATTATTTATAATACTAAAAAATAGTTGTGTAATAATAAAGATACATACCGTCTGTATATATGATAATGGAACCTAATATTTAATAAGCAATCAATAGCTTGTCTTATCTCCATATGCGGTACATTTATTTATTTATTATATTTTCTTTGTAGTTATTATTATTTTTACTGTTTTTATGTCTTTATATATACATCGTATTACATTTTATGATAGAACTATACATAATTTCTACACGGTAATATAAAATAGAATTTAATTTTCTTTTAGAAGGACTGCATGTACGAGAGATTATGCGCCATCCGCCATATTGTTAATGGTTGTGATAGTGAATTATTGTTAATATTGTAAAGCCTTTATTTTGTTGTATAATTAATTTTAATAAGTTAAATATTGGTATTAGTATTACTTTGCTGTGTATGGGTCAGTAAGGCATCGAAGTATAATGAAGCTAGAAGGCTAGCACTGAAAATCAGCGCTGTGTTGGGGCCTCGTCTTCCGGCATAGCATAATGCTGAGCTGCTAACCTAATTTACCGGAATAGGGCGTAGAATATTTTTGGTTTGCTAAAGTTCTTTATCATTTGTTTCATATTTTAACTATGCATTAATTTTGCTTTACTGAGTTATTTATAATTTTTTTTTTATTTCTTTTATTTGTTGTTAATATTAGTTTTTTTTTCTCTTTTATCGTGTGCGTCCTTTTTTGGTAAATAAATGGATTTTCTTTCTTTCTTTCTTATCTACTCACATCATCACAACCCACAGCCCTATATTTTTTTATATAAAGTATAAAAAAGTAAAGTAACAGGTTATACCTCCTATTGCTGGGCAAATGCCTCCGCTGTGCAGAGGGTATCGGGGCATGGTCCACCACGCGGCCCCACTGCGGATTGGCGGACTTCACATGTCTTCTAATGTCTCTTTTTTCTGCTTTGAGCACGTATTAATTTGCACTTAAAATGAACAATTTCATTGGTGCCGGCACCGGGGATCGAACTCAGGTTGCCGAGTATCGTATCCTTTAAACGAGCAATTCTTGTATCTAATATATAAAATTCTCGTGTCACGGGGTTCGAACTTGAACTCCTCCGAAACGGCTTGACCGATTTTTAACAAATTTAATATGCGTATTCAGTAGGTCTGAGAATCGGCCAACATCTATTTTTCATCCCCCTAAATGTTAAGGATAGTCCACCCCAAAATTTTTTTTTTATTTTTTAGGCAAAATTTTTTGTTTTTATTTTTTTATGACACAGCATACAAAAATACATACAACCTAAAATTTTCACCCCTCTACGCAGACGTAGTCGCGGGCAGCAGCTAGTATATACATATAATCGGAATCTCGGAAACGGCTCTAGCGATTTTTATGAAATTTTGTATGTGCGTAGATTCGGGGGCGAAAAATCGATCTAGTTAGGTTTCATTTTTAGAAAATGTCGTTTTATCCCTATTTTGAGGGAATGAAAAACATCATTTGAATATGACAGTAAATTTCGCCGCAAAAAAAATGTTATAATAGCTCGGTCGGTAATCGGGCGGCCCCAAAACAAACGGCCGCGGTTTGTAACACGATCATTTACACTTTTTATTTTACTTATTTTTCCATACCAGATCATTTTCTTTATTTTTTTTTATTTCCAAAATACATGATTTATCAAAAACGGTCCTCCAGGTACTATTGAATTAAAGGCGAGCGCTCGGACAATGCGCTATCACGGCTCTCATATAAAATATACATAGAGAATTTGCAAAACGTTGAAAAAAAAAAAAAAGAAAAAGAACGCGGTGATTTTTAGACGGACGTGTTGAGAATGAAACAAAAAAATAACTATCTGTATAATAGAAAGAATGAATTTCTATGTTCAGTTGATGGATGTGAGTAAACGGGAGATGTCAAGATCGAGCAAAGTGGGGAACTATTGTCTCTTGCCTTTCCCCACGGGACAGGAAAAAGAGACGAGAGATCAGTAGAAGGTATGATATTCCGTTAATCGTATTCGGATCGTGCTCCGTGGCAGTCTTTGGTGGAGGCCTGTGTTCAGCAATTGACTCAAACAGGCTGAAATTATGATCATGATATTCCGAAAAGATGACACTAGATAAACTAAATTGGGAATTTATCACAGTATCAAATACTTACAAAAAATACTAACTCTTAAATTAATTTTAAAACTTTTTGGTTACTTGTAATTTAGTATCACAACTACTTGCATCAACCTTGAAATCTACGCGTCCAATAATCTGTTTAATCCTATACTAGCTTTCCGCCCGCGGATTCGCTCGCGTTTAAGCCCTTAAATAAATATCTTTCAACCCTTTACGACACTTTCTTCCAATAAAAAATAGCCTATGACCTTTTTCAGGCTCTAGACTGTGTACAAAATGTCATTTAAATTGGGTTAGTAGTTTTGAAGTGAAAGCGAGACAGACAGACAGCGTTATTTTCGCATTTATAATTTTTTTTATGCGAAAAGTTGTCAAACGAGCAGACGGTTCACCTGATGTTAAGTGAATACCGCCGCTAATGGACATCTGCCACACCCGAGGGTTACAGATGCGTTGACAACCTTTTGAAAATTGGGCTCCGGCTACCTCACTCACCAGACGAAACGCGAAAGTATTTGTCATACTTCCACTTTACGCTGGTCTTACTCTCTTTACGCTGGACGGGCCTGCCCATTCGTGCAACAGCTGAGGCTGCTGCGTGGCCCTACTGTAACATAATATGGAAGTATGTTTTGGAGATATTCTTGGGGATAGTGTATGGTATTATTTTTTTCGTATTTTTTTAACCGTTTGTTTCTTTAACGAAATGAATATATATTAAGCAGAAATTGTTAGGGCTCAATAACAATTGAGCGCGCTAAATTTTTTTAATATTTCACTTCGCAACCTTAAGGCTTTAAAGTATTAAAATCAAACAACTTGGAGCCTAATAATTAAAGTTGTTAAATTTTATGATACTAGACCGTGAATAGTTAACTTTTTCCTATTCTAAATAAATTATGTTCCTATGAAATATCATCATTCCACGTTGAAAAAACTTAAAAAAAAAAGCAGTCAATATGATTGTAATGAATATAACGTCCATGAAATAAAATTCATAACGCTTTGTAATTCGACTGGTTAAAAAGCGTTATGAATAGTATTTCCAAATAAAAACAAAAACCAATCCATATTTAAATGAGGTTGGATAAGGTTTTTCAATTTGCTAACCTAAAAGAGTGTTGAAAAGTGAAGGCAGAGGCACAATTTTAGACGACTTTGACTCTAAATATTCATGTAACGGATACGTATGGAACATAATATAATTATCACACATCTGAATCCTGTCTAATAGGTTACCAACCTGTTGTCATTTTATCCAAATTACGAACATTGACAGGTAGATATGAAAGATCTAAACAGAAATGGATTGTCCACCTACTCAGGTATATTTGAGATAAAATGCAAATGCTTGTATAAAGCAATTGAAATTTTAATACATATTCGTTGCTCAAAATTACCGTGGTGTGTGTTGTGAATAAATTTTAATATTTCTTTCAAAAGAGCCGTGATAGCTCAGTGTCCGGGCGCTCGCCTTTAATTTAATATACTCGAGCAACCTGAGTTCGATCACCGGTGCCGGCATCAATGAAGTTTTTAACTTTAAGTGCTGACTTATCACGTGCACCGCGGTGAAGGAAAACATGGTGAGGAAACCTGGATATTTTCGAAATAATAACAAAAAATATATATGTTTCGTAGATATGTGAAGTCCGCCAATCCGCAGTGGGGCCGCGTTATGGACTACTCGTATGTATATACCCTCGGTATAGAGGAGGCCTTTGCCCAGCAGTGGGACATGTATAGGCTGTTAATTTACTTTTATTTCTTTCGAAAGATATATTAAAATTTATTCACAAAGGCAATATGAGATATTTATATTAAATTTTCGTTTAACTAGTTTCTACAACATTTCAAATGTTAAAACATATACAATTAAAAATTAATTTAAGTAATGAAACCTTACTTTTATTCTTATTTTATTAATGGTATCCAATTAAAACATTCGGTTTCGTTAAGGGAACCGATTCGTTTAAGGGATATTTTTAAATACCTAAATAAATAAAAAATCATATTCAACATAACCGTTCCAAGTGAAAGAAGTACTATGGTATACAAATATGCAAGATATCTAAGAACCTATCGCGTAGAGTAAGGAGAAAAGGACAAAGCTGTCTTTCGTACTGCACTCGGAAATGCGTACATAGAGACAGCTGCCGTTAAAAATAATTCGCGCTCTGGGATCGATTCGAAACGGACGGGGAGAGCGGCGCATTGCGGCGGGCAGAGTAAATAAAAAAAACTAACGACCGCATCCAGCCTCCGAGATTCGCGACTATTATCTCGCAGCAGCCAACCGTTGGCGAGGTGTTTGTTCGGGCGCAGCCATTGGACGGTCACACCCAGCGGTCACCGCGCCCCGCCTCTACCGTGACTCTACCATCGACGAGCCGACGACGTTCTACGAGCGCGGTCGGGCTACGTCCCTACGCGCGTCCGTCCCGCTCGCTCTTGTACACCCTCACAAGAGCGACAGGGACAGCGACGCCGTAAGCCGCGATTAGGTAGAGCCGGCGGCGCCCTATCGCTCAGTGTTCGCGGCACGCGCGGGGACGCAACAACGTGCGCGGTACGCCGCCGATGGTCGAGTGATGTGCGCGCTCCGATCCCAAACATGATGACCATGGACGTCGGCATGTACAACAACCAGCAGGCCGGGTACAGCGGCGACTACTACCAGCAGCCGTACCAGGCCTACGAAGGCTACGAGGGGTACTACGAGCCTACGCACTACTACGAGCCGGCGCTCACGGGGCCGCCGTTGGAGCACCCGCCCGTCATAAGCACGGACGCGGGCCTGTGCTACACGAACCTCGACTACGGCGAGTTGCAGACCTACCACCCGCTGCCACACCAGGAGGCGTACAAGCACCGCGATGAGCAGCCGAGGCACGAGGAGCATATTCACGACCACAAGCTGGACAACCACTACCTCGAGACCAAGTACAACATGCACTTCGTTGACGAGTCAGTTCAGTACGGCCACGGCGCGTCGCCGCTGCCGTGCGCCGAGTTTGACCCCTACCAGCCCAAAGACGAGTTCGGGGGCCTGCGGGAGGGTTTCCCGCGCGAGGGCGAGATGCAGCACGGCCTGGTGGCCCACCAGCCCCACCCCTCCCACGCGGTGCCCACCTACAAGTGGATGCAGGTCAAGAGGAATGTGCCCAAGCCTTCCGGTGAGTAGTTCAGATTACCTGGAGTATATTTATAAACTATCGCTATGCAATATTTAAACCAAATTATGTAACAATAAACAAGAACATTTTTTATTTTTCATTTCAATTCAATTCAAAAGTAAATACTATAATAATAAGTAATGGTGTCAAAGTGCAAAGATTAGCACATTAAACAATTTAAATTTCTAAATACGACACCATCAGAAATGTACCGATACAGTTTAATTTTTAAATACTCCGGATCTAAGAATTGAAAGACATTTAGTCATCAGTAAAAAGTAATTAGGTTTATAAAAATATGTATCATATATTTTAACCTCATTAACTCAACATAATGACATCATGAAAAATGACTGGAACGTAATAAAAAATTGGTACACAAAGACGTTGAATTTGTTCTGATAACAGCAAACAGCACATACAAAAGAACATTTTTGTCAATATAAAATTAACATACAATCCTTGCAAAATATTTGTGATAACTATGACAGTATTAAAACCCCCCCCAACGCATTAAGGTCGAAATTTTATGGTCCTTTTAATTTGAAACTAAAAATCCTTAACTTTACAATAACTTAATGTTAACTATGTTAATCGTACTAAAACTACACCAGGAGTAAGTAATATCACTTAAATAAGTCATTAATTTTGTTGAAGTGTGGGCCGGCTAAATTGTAATGCATAACGAATATGCATAACCAGTTTAAAGTTACATCATTACAGAGAAACCAACTCGGAGTTTTGTAGCTAACGATTATTTCAACACGTTACTCCAATTCCCTGCGTTATGGTTTTTATTGAGTGCTTGAGAAAGATAATATTAAATAAAAAAAAGAAAAATATTAAGTAATTCATCCATGTCACGAAGTATGAATCAAATTCCTAATAATACAATAAGTTACATTCTTATGTTTTACTTTTACGTTTAGTATAAAATTTGAAACGAAGAAAGTTTTGGACGGTTAGAGATGCGAACGAAAATTTTGTTGCGAAAGTTTCTTCGTGTATATTATTCATCGCGCCACGACCTTTTACGTTACTTAGACGTTGTATCCTTGAAAAATGTCTACATGTGAATATTTATCTAGCTATTATATTTCTAATAAAACAAATAAAGGCGGTTTCTTATTACTTTATTTACCAAATACTATTCACATGTTACACCGACGTTTGAATACTCAAATATCACACAGCCCGCGTAATGCCAATTAATGGAAATAGCAAACCCGCGTAATTACCAAAGTACGATAAAATTAATAGTCTGATACCTGTTAGGTATTCTATGACAGTATGACATACGCGTCAAACTCCACCGTGTCCAGTCCATGGATTCTGTAAAGCGTAAAAGGTAAAGAAATATATTAATTACATAAAATTTAACACGACACCAAAGAGAAACAAACTCTCGAATCTTTTGAGTGACGTAGGACAGACAAGGTTTGTGTATTGTCTACCAAAAGTGATGTTCAACTTTCATCGCGCTAATTTATGCGAAGTGTTCCGCTAAACGTGACAAGTTTGTCACCGCACCGTGATTCGCGCAGAAATAATCAAAGCGGACACTCCTTACACACCGATGTTTTTTTTTTATGTGAAAAACTGCCAAAGAGCTGGCGGTTCACCTGATGTTAAGTGATAGCCGTCACCCATGGTCATTTGAAACACCTTGTAGGGTTTCAAATGCGTTGCCACCTTTAAATAAAGTGGGCCTAAGCTACCTCACTCAAAAGACGAAACGCAGAAGTGTAACACTTCTACTTTACGCCGGTCTTCAGTGAGATCGTGGTACTTACCAGGACTGACCTGCCAATAGTGAACACTGTTGCCTGGCCCTACCAACATATGATTGGATTCCGTTATTCCGTGATTGGAATCCGCGCCTTCAAATAGCAAGTCTTCGTCTCAACGTAGTAAAAAGTAGAACTAAAGGGGCATTATGTTAGACTCGATAAAATCCATAAAAGGTTACATACATTAATAATATATTTTTTTCTAACTGTGGTGGGGCCACGAAACAGTCAGAAGCAGAACTTCGTTTTTGCTCGAATGGGCAGATCCGTCCGAGGAAGTACCACGACCTCGCAGATAAGCAAGGCCCACTTTCTTCTGCAACCCTAAGGACGTTGCAAATGTCCATATGCGGCGTTAAACACTTAACATCAGACGTACCACCGACTCGCGTACCATCTTCTTACATAAAAAGAGAATAGCGCGGAAGAAGTGAAACTTCGAGTGCCACGCATTCACTCTCGCTCTGTCTCTTCCTATTGCCCCCCTCAGGAGCGTTGAACGTTTAACGCAACAGTGCTTTCTTATCCCCTCCGTGGTAGCGTTAAACGTTCAACGCAACCCTGGAAGTCGCATTAGAAGTTTCACTTCAAAAATATTAACGCCGCCACGACGTCACTGTTATGACGGCTGTCGGCCGAGGAGTCAAGGGTTGCGACGCTGGTCCGAAATCTCCGGGTTCAAAGCCGAGTTCACGTGACCTATGATACACGTCTGCACCGCCCGCCGTACCGCTGGCCAATTCAACACTAAAAAATACGTGGTTTTTTTTCCCTGCTTCTTTTCGTCAAATAATAAATACTATTGCGTCCCTTTCGTATAAATATTACATTAATTAGTGTCAATGTCTGTATAGATATTGTGCTAAGAACACGCCGGTCTTTTTCGATGTTTTTTTCCATCCATTTTTTTTATATTTTAACGGAATTGTATAAATTATTTTTTTCTTTCTATATTTTTCGTTAATAATTCAATAATGCACAGACGTTTCGTGGTAAACAAAGTTTTTTAGCTTTTATATATGAGTACAGTACGAGTATATGCATACTTTTTGTAGTCTTTAAAAGTTACTTATATTATTGTTTGTGATTGCTCATATTTTGCCTCAAAACTAACTTATAATACTTTTAAAATAAACTGTAATATCCTGTAATAAATCGTTTCTCGTGTCCGTATTATTTCCGCATTGTAGGAGTATGTAGGTATTAAAACAATATTGTCCTTTTTAAAAATAAAAAGGCTGCGACCATTTTTAAGCGTCTACTTACTTAGCTATTAGTTTCGTAGAATCGATTTCAAAACGACCTGTGTATTTCTGGGACGAATCTGACGTTATCCTTACTCATATCGACCATTAAAAGGGAAATCTCTCTCGGCCAAATCCCTGACAGTAGATTTATTTTTTAGTCTCTTGACAGCGACTTAACTTGGGGTTTTCTTAACTTTTAAAATAAGGGCCCCTAAATCCCTTTTTTTTTTTTCAAAATCACACATCATATTACAATAACTGAAACACACTTTAAATCGAAAGAAAAACCTTTATTGGATTTTTTGTGAAATGATCACCAGTTTGATTTCTCATTCTCCCCTCTCGAATGTAATTGTTTCAATGTTTTATAAATATTATAGAATACTTTATACTTCGGTGATGTGGCCGACAGGTTTGATTACCAACCACCCACTTAAGGGGATGAATTTTCGCGTACTTTACAATATTATAGCTTATTCAAGAGCTTTACAAAAATGAATATTACGAGGTCGAAGACGTCAAAAATACAGTTACAAATATTTCTTGGACATTGAAATTATTCTATACAGGGAAATAAATAAATTCACGGAACCTCGATGTTTTTTCACTGATTTAACTAAATCAATGCCAGCTACCGATGAAAAAGCCGTCAATCGTTAGAGTAAAGGCTCAAATCCAACCGCTTAAATCCAGACATGCATAATAAATGAATGCAAATAAATATATCCCACAAGAAGGTGATGAATTGACTTAACTCAAACAAATTCATCAGACAAACAGAAAACGTCTTGTGATCTAGGCCTTTGTCCGGAATTTGATCGCCTAGGCGAATAATATTACCGGTGAATGACGGTGATACCAAGATTAGGGCAGACAGTAAACATTGACGTGTGTTCTTGTTAATACGTATTTAACGTGGCTGAAGCTGTCGGGGTCGTGGCGTTAGAACACGACTGACAGACAGACAAGCGATGGTGAGAGTAGATACACACGCCGGAAGCCTATCGATGGACTTAAGAACTGTTCACCAGTTACACGAACGCGTTCAAATATATTGCGATAAAATTATACAAAAATAATGTTCAATACACTTCAATTTCAATCCACTTATTGTCTAGTAACCGATACGGAGGCTTGTACACTATTTTTCAGTACACACCGTAAGTCACTAAACCCACAGACATCTGTATCTATTATTATAGATACAGGTAATCGGTTGATTGCCACAGCGAAAGTCTCAAACTTTGCCAACATTGCTTTTTTTGCACTTTTAACCAATGCTTGGAGCATCTATTGTTACATATTATTGTTATATTTAGAGCAAATAAACAACTTCAAAAATTGTTTTGCAACGATAATTCTATATCATCCATTTTTTTCTACGAATTTTAATGATTTGTCTTAAGTTCAGGGATTAGCACTATAAAAATACTTCTGATGATTCGTATTAAATTAGATAGCATTCTAATAGATATAGAGCATCGTCTTTCAGTCTATGCAACAACGTTTAATTAAAGCGTGAGTCTGTTCGTTTGTTTTGTAACTAAGTTTTTTTCTTTTCATTAAAAAATCGGTTAAAGAAACTAATAGAGTCGTGGTAAGGTAATGAAATTGTTGGTTACTTTAAGCGGTTCTTGAACAGTATGTAAGCCTTGAATCTGAGTATTAACGTTTATATCTTTAATTAGCTATATGCTGTATTCATCTTTTCGCGAAGTCTTCTTGTTCTTGTATTCCTCTCTTTTGTATAATTAAGGTTGGCAGAAAGTGTGAGCTGATCAGGCAAATGATATTTTCCAAAAAAAAACCTATTAATTGACCATATTTTGAAGATCATCTTATTAGATGACCATACTCGAGAAAAAAATAACGAATTTCGGCCGACGTATTACTTGTAGGTCTTAACGATCACCGATTTAGTTATTTAGTAATATAAAAATTACTACACAATTGTCACACAGTTATATAATATTAAAAATACATTTAAGGTAACCGTGGACCACCCCTGACATACATATGAGCGCAGAGTAAACCACGCGGTCCATACGGATTGTCAGACAAAGCTGTTTGTAGAATGACGTTGCCTTTTACCGGCGTAAGACGTGAACGCTGCTTATCTCGTTGCAATCTCCGATTGAACCGCGGATCGGTCATTAAGTTGTCTATACTGACCCCAGTGTTAGTCATAACCTATTAAATAAAATAAACTATCAATCGAGACCTATCAAGACTATGTTGATGTTGCATTATTCCTTGGATTGCATTAATATGCTTTCATGTTAACTATTAGTCGTCCTGTGGTCGAAATTCGACCATAATTAAATATACACGGTGGTGTGTGTAATGTTTTTTTTTATTGACTTAATGTATTTTATGCAATTAACAAAAAAAATATTAGCATTCTGCACTCCTCTATATAAGTGCAAGTGTGGGAAATTTCATACTCCTCCGTCCGCGCAATTTTCGTACAAAATTTCGGTACAAAGTTTTTGCTTCACGTATTTAGCTAATATATTCACAAGAAATTAATAGAAAGGAATCACTATCGAAGGAAGGTTTTAAAAAATTACTATAAAAGGAAGATTTTTGTTGAATTCTTCTTTTATATCTTTAATTAGTTTAACCCAAAAAGCTAATTAAAATGAATTAAGGCAGAAAGGCGGCAATCCCGCGTCACGCGATGTCTCAGGTTCGTTACCTGCCTCTAATCCCTGTACAAGCCTCTCCACCCGTGTTTGTTTTGATTTAAGCACGCGACCCAGTAAGGGCCGCCCCTTCTGAACGTCGAACAACTTTACGAAATCGATAAAAACTAAGGGGGCAACCCTTGTAGTTTAATTTCATTTTTTGGTAAATTTAAATTGGTTATATTTTACCCAAAAATACAAATAAAACTAGAGTAAGTGTGGCTAAAGAATTAGCTTCTTAAGGTATTAACGTAATTAATAATTACTAACTATGGAATACTTAATTTCATATAAAATTACATTCCATTTAAAAGAGTATTTTTAAAGAGCTAGGAACTATTTTTACCAGTTCTCCTATGGGCTGACCATTTTTACTCGCGAAAAAGTTAAGTAGAAATTTTAAGTAAGAATTTTGGTATTCTCGACCACTCATAAAAGAATTTTGGTATACAAAATTTGCAAAAGAATTGTTTATTTTCTTCATCAATTTAAACCAAAAGTATGAGTACCTATATAAAAATAGTTTGTGATTAAATACTAGATATATTTGCCTGTATAAATTTTAAATTCAAGAGATCTATTATATCTAGATAAATCAAAATGAGAAAAACCTAACAGTATCGATCTGACAAAAATTAAATAGCTAAATATCCGACGTTAGCCATAATTTCTATCAAACCACCATGTATGCTTTAAAATTGGAACTTGAAAATCTAGAATTAAAATTGTAATATAAACCGATCTTAGTGCCGGAACAATGTGTTAAAATACCTCTCAGAAATAACTCCAAACGTCATTTGGATGTAACGCATGAATGCATTTGTTTAATCTGAACATCATTTATTTTTACATTGTGGCAACATTTTGAAAACTGCGTGTCTACTATAACATGGATATTATAATTCGGTAAAATTTTCTTAGTATGATTTTATACGATTTTTTTACTTATTTATTCAAAATCAAAATCAAAAATATATTTATTCACATAGACGCTTGCGCGTTCTTATGAAATGTCAAAAGTTTTACATAAAAATTAATACGTTCGTAAGTTACCATTGCCGTCAACCTTTTATAAATAACTCCAAAATTTATTTTATACTGTCACACGGACCCCTTACCGAAGCTAGGACCGCCACAACTATTTATTGATCTCACTCACTTGTTTTGAAGCTACGATATGCATCGCGGTGTTCTAATTTGCATCCCCACGACGAGTGACGCCTCTTATCTTATCCTACAGTAAGGGTGATATTTTGGTACTATAAAAAACAAGCTAAGTGCGAGTTGGACTCGGCGCACGCAGGGTTCCGTACCATTATCTTTAATCGGCACAAAAAAACGACAAAAAAATCATGTCTGTTGGATGGAGCCCCACTTTAATATTTTTTTTCTGTACTTTAGTATTTGTTGTTATAGTGGCATCATGGGGACGGAACCCCTCAAAAATACAAACATTTCTCCTAAATAATAATGTACACGTTTGCTTCCTAAACGTTAGGAAACACACGTAGGAACAAAATTAAGTTAAGCATTAAATTTGTAGAAAAAGTACGAAAAGATTGTCGCCGCTGTGGGAATCGAACCCACGTCTTCGGCATTCGTCGGTGTGGCAATCAGCCGTTTAGCTCAGTGGCTAGAGCGTCAGGCCGCGAATGCCGAAGACGTCGGTTCGATTCCCACAGCGGCGACAATCTTTTCGTACTTTTTCTACAATATTAATGTACATTCTTAAGTGCAAAGATTAGCACAATAAAAAAAATTATAAGTTAAGCATTGCAAAAACTATTGTTCAGAAGAAATATTACAAGATTCGGTGTACCCTTAGAATAGTTTCCCAACAGGCAGTAATTTAACCAACCAGTATTGAGAACACGTAAAACACCGTAACTATAGTTAAGGAGGTAAAGGAGGAGATCCCACTGCAGGGTAAGGGCCTCCTACAGAGGGTATTAGGGCATGGACTATGCCACGCGGCCCCACTGCCGGTTGGCGAACTTCACTGTCACTGCCGACTGTTAGATTTGAAATACGTATAGTTTCTATGCACATGTACACAACGTTATCAAATCAAAGCTTGCGCTATGGGTACTAGCTAACTGATGAACATAAGTACTTTTATTTGTAAATGATTATTGAATACTTCGTTCATTACACAATACTTTTCCAGTAGTGGGGATTGAACCAATATCCTGTAGCACTAGAATCGGATCCACTATCCGCTGCGCCAATCGGGTCGAATGCTATAAAAATAACGTGTTTATATCACATATCTCGCTCAGACCGCACGAAAACTGGTACTATGTAGGGTTCAGGCTGTTTTATTGAAATAACATCGACTGGCAATGACTAAGCAGAGTGCCGTGTGCCGTTTCTTCGTCAGCGTCCTGAGGCAATCCAGCCAAATCCCTTCGCAGGTGACAAATTACCCGCTCCATTCGGCCCGCGTTCGATTCCATATGACTGGTAGTAATTTCGCGACGGCTTACGGAGTAAATTCGACTTAAACAGTATTAAAATCAGTATAATGATATATTTTCTTTTGGCATTTCCTTCAAATTCTATTTGTACTTTATTATTCCCGTTAACAAAGTTCACGACATTATGAATACTTTGCAGTATTTATTATCATCACCGTATATACATTTTAAAATTATTTGGTTGACAAATTTCAATATTGAACAGAAAGCTTAATAAATATCACGTTTAATTTCTCATTCATACAGCATTCGACCTCTATCCGTAGCAATGATGTTTCAAAGCACATTAACCGGAAGACGTAGGTTCGAATGCAGCAGCGTTGGAAGTGTTTGAGCATTTATCCACAAAAAAATCTCATTTCAAGCCAATCAATATCACTGTCTTGATTCACAACCACCTCGCCGAGAACAGAAATGCAATTTCGAAACAGATAAGATAAAGCAATTGGATATTTCGCACTGCAATACAAAACAAATACCATTACTTTTTTCCAAACTCCGTCGGTTCGATCGACGTACCGATTCGACACAAACAAATACATCGACAGTTCGACGCGAAGTACGTTACATCGATGCCGATTTCGCGAATACTCGCCACACAAACGGTCGACCACCAGCGGGCTGTCAAATGCGTCGATGCTATCTATTATGCCGGGACAATGAGGCGGACCGCGAACCATCGAGCCTCCAGGGACTGGACGCGCAAACTTTTATCTGCACACCCTGAACAGATCTTCATTCAAATATTGACGTTAGACGGACACGATTATGATACGAGGGGATTTAGCGAACCGCAAACTTATATTGGCCGGGAGGACAACTCCCGATGTCACTCCGGATCAAACCCGTCTGCGGGATACGTGCTCGTCATTCCTTGTGATATTCACCACGGTCGATGATTTATAGCTACGCCATTAGCGACCTAAGCGTCAACCGTTTAAAGTCCAGATTCGTGAGCTCCAATTTAATTTTAACCTGTGTCAAAATATCCGATTCATCTGGAATCCACGATATTCAATTCTCGAGATCCGCAACTCGTGATTTGGATATTATCGTTGAACGTTAACGTCAGGTAAGGTTAGGAAATATTCGCCTGATGCATTCGACGGGATACTATTGTTATTCAACAAACACGTGGGTACGATTATGCACACGCTAATCCAACTCTAATCTAGATAGACGCGTTATTTATGACTCTACCCCTGATCTAGATCTAAAGTCGAGACGTTATAAATAGCCTTTCATACCCAAGTTAAAAAGATTTATCTAAAGTGTTATATTACCCATATTGAAAATGTTAAGATACAATCGGAACACACACGAATCAATTTTATGTTCGTAAAATAATAATATACGTGTAGGAATTGAAGACATCACTAACACTTACACCATGCATAACATAGGTCCAAGAATATATAAACTTTCTAACACCTCGGAAATTGCTTGGCCAGCTCGTGCCAGCGTATTCACATTAGTGGCTCGACATTTTAATATCGAATTCTCTATTAGCATAATGGCCCCTCCATTCCAGGGCTTTTAGCTAGAAACCTGGCCCGGCTAATTCGCGAGCAGCGACGTTCATTTGGAGCCGCACTGGAAGTGGCTAAGAACTGTAATAGCCAACGCTTGCAAGTCACCTGCATTAGACGACGTAAGCCCCGTGGTGCAAGTTGCGTACTCTTTCATCGAAGCGTTAGTCAGATACTGTTATATCTTCCGTTAATACAAAGCATGAATGTTCTTCTGGTTGTGTTAACAGCTTGCTCATTTGCCTCCCAAAGAAATAACTCATTCGTTAAGAATATCCACGAGCAGCGTATATATTGGTACAGTTTCAGGTCTGTGGTGAAAATAAAAACCTTTGATGATGCGAAGATCAAGTCCATAAGGCGAGCCGCAATAGTAAAGCGAAAGTAATTCGCGTATCGCAAAAGGAAAAATGGAGTATAAAGTTGATATAACAAATGTACGTAAAATATCTTAATAATACTTTTTTTCATGTATGAAAATTATGTGTCCATATTTGTAAATTCGATTGCTTTTGGTAGTTTATTGCTGAGGTGAATATGGAACCCGCTTCGCTTGTGACATAGACCACGTCACAAAGCCGCTAGGCTCTGTAAACCGATTACAAGCGAGCGGCGGGGCTGTATTCGTATCGCGCCATCTAACACGCAACGTGTAGGGTTGTCCACTAGCACGCCTTGAGCGAGTGGTATACTTTAAAAACTTCGAACTTGTTACTTTTAGACAAAGACTACTAGAAATTATATAAATACAAACCTGAACAACAAATTTCTAAATTTAGACAATAACTCAAACATTTATCTGTTTCTAAATATATAATGTTGAATTGCTTAAAACGCACACTAGTTATATTGGTGGTGATAATATTTATATTGGTCGTGCCACATTCTGACTCTAATTGGAATAAAATTCGTCATTAAACTGTCAAGAAATCACTTAAACTACGTTATCAATTATGTTTCGAATACGCAATTTCTATTAGTGTTTATCGACTTTAGCTCATTTAAATATTGTTTATTGTTAGAAATCCTAGTAAAGGAACAATAGAAGTCCTATAAGGCAACCCTGCGCTACCCTCGCGGCCACCCGGCCGCACTCCACTATGCTTTGTCCCAGTAATGACCCCGCCACTTGCCCCATATCAATAATATTATTAGCGATTGTTGTGGCCGTGCTTTTAGAAAAACCTCTTGGCTCCTGTTCAAATATTGTACCTTATTATATCGCTTGCTAATGATATACCATTTGAAGTTCGTCGACACGAAGAAGACGGACGGTTTTTGATACGCTATACTACTCGAAGAAACATTATTTAAACTAATTGTACTTGGCCATACGCCCAGAGATACAAAAACCTTAAGTTCATATAAATAATTGTCTTAACAGATTTTATGACACGGCCTTAATTTTGCCAGCGTAATTTATAAGTATACTTGTAGCTTATAATCTTAACTTTGAACTTAAATTATAATATCAAACTAGTTGACCCACAAACGTTGTCTTGCCGATGATTTATTTCTAGGGAATTTGTAGGGTAGAAAAAAATATTTGGGGTAGACCACCCTTATCACTTGGGGTATAAAATTTTAGTTATAAACCTATTCTCATATCTACTGAATATCAATATAAAATTTCATCAAAATCGGTCAAGCCGTTTCGGAGGAGTATAAACACAAAAATTTTATATATTAGATATAACAAAGCATAGCACTTTTCTTCTTTGAAAAAAAAGAATGCGTCGTTTTCAAATGCGAATTGATATACGTATACCATAAAATAAACATAGAATTGCCGAGCGTGGTACTTTTTAACGCATTTCGCGTTCTAACAACTTTATGGCGTAACACAAATGTGTCACTAGAGGGGCCTTGGTTTCTCTCAAGGGCGATACTCGAGTCAACTTTTTAGATGCAGCAGATCTCCCACAGCTCATTATAATCGCTTTCAATACATTAATGTACTCTACGGACGTTTAACGTGTACGTGCAACGAGATATAAACGCATTCTCAATAGATAGGCCCATTGTCTCGAGTCTGAAGCGATACTGGACCGAGGGACGAACAGATTATGTCATATCAGAACGTGGGAGGCTTCCATGGAAGCTGATGGTACATTAATAACGTTGAATAAATCATTAATATTCAATGAGGAAAAGGGTTCAGTACAGAATAGAAAATAGAGGTGAATTAACACATATTTTTCCACAACAAAAAAAAACAACAATGCATGAAAAATATTTCGATTCGTAAGTTGCTTCAATATAACAGTTTAGATAGGAGAATTTACTTTTAACGTTCGTCGTTGTTAAAACCTCTTTTATTGATAAAAAAAAAACTTCCGCGTTAATAGAAACTTCAAAATATCTTAGTTGGATTACATTTTTGATAACGAAAGCAATAATTCCTAACATTTTTAAAAATCATATCTGTACTGAACCAAAACCCACTGTCCGCTCTCACTACTCTCGTTCAATTAGCGTATCATCGGATTATACCTTTACATTCGTTTATCCCTTAAAAGTTTAGTATTTGGGAGGTATCATACACACGCTGCAGCTACACACTTGAAATATTATTACAATATGATACAGTGTATCAGAAAATAGCTAGGTAAATTGTTAGTTAAAAGATGCTTATTTCCCAAAAATGTCTTTAAAAAACTTTTACATAATTTACATGGTAACCGAAAGAATTAAAGACCTCAAGGATATTTTTGTTTTTGCTAGTTCTTGGCGTTTAAGTTAAAAAAAAGTTGTATCACTAAGATTTAAAAATTTACTGCAAAATGAAATCAACAACCGGTTAATAAATTAGACACTAATAGACTAACCAGAATAATCCGCTTCTCATATTTAAAACTAGCAACTTATTCTCAATATAAATCAATAAAAATAATAAATACACGAACACTAGTCTTATTACCGAAAGAAGATATACACATTGCAATAAAATATTGCAGTTATTTTATAATAAATACAATCTAATAAGATGGAAAGTGGAATTGAAAGCAATATACGAAGACCAAGAATATTGAAACGGCTTTTTTCAAATATGTCAAAATAAATAAAATGTATTATTAGTCTTACATAAATACATTCCAGATAAAGAACTTGTACATATATCTTTGTTTAAATCATATCTTTGTAAAAAAAATACTTTAAAGCTGTGAAATAGGCTTACTTATGTGTTAGTTATGGTTTTAACAGATAGAAAAGATTAAGAGACCACGTTTGAAGCATTTATACCTGTTTCAATCCAGAAAATGGGTTTCACGTAAATCTACAGTATCATCGAATCTTGGGATATTTTTGAAGATTTCAATTAATACGACTGATAGATTGGCCATTAGCTTTCCTCTCACTTGTCTTGGATGTATGGAAGAATCAATTTTTTACTATCTCTACTATTTTGATAGTTCACATATCCTCGAAATATTCACTTTTGCTAATTATATATGGTTTTAAAAAGTGACGCTCAGACTCTGAACTGTCATGGCTTTAATTTTACTCAGCCTATGGACCTGACCTGGATGATGTGCATCACCAAATGACCGTGATTAACAGGGGACATGGAAAGTAATAGCTGAAAGTGGATAAGCGCCAACCATGGATATTCCTACCTCATGACTTATTCTATCTAAATAAGACGAAACAAACAAGCAAGCGGTTCACCTGATTATTAATGCTTTATATTAAAGAAGAGTTGGCACATCATTAATGCCCGGTTCCTATATTCAACGAATGGCCGTATTACAGCTTCATATTAAATGACGACTTGTAGATAAGTCGTGTTCGCCCGTTCCCTATATTAACAAAACGAGGCGCTTTCCTCACGAGCCGTTGCATTACCTACGGAGACTGAGTTACTAGCGTTCCTTTAATCCACAAGTCGTTATGAAAGTTACGAAGCTATGTAAATAACGGCCGTTCGTTGGATATAACAACCGGGCATTAATGATGTGCCAACTATTCTTTAATATATAGCATCAGCGTTCAGGTGAACCACTTGCTTGTTTGTTTCGTCTTCTTTAGATAGAATTAAGTCACCGGAACCGAGCATAAGTGATCTCCGACATCCGTAGACGAGCTGTTCTGTTGCCGTTCCCAACGACTCGTGTCAGGCGCCAGGCAGTACGTGGTTTCGACATGGACGGCTTATCGTGGCGTTTATCGGATCGATTATCGCAAATTGGACAGGTCCGAGCGACCGCCGGCCGGTGTTAGCTCGTCGCCACTTCACAAATCACTCCCCCTATCTTATCTGGTGCCGTGTTCAGTTGGCCACATCGGATTTTTATTGCGGGGAAGTGACGGGCTTGCATGTTAATCGCGCGCGAATCGATTTGCTAATGGCCTATTGGCTGGGAACG